GTCCGTTCATTATATAGAAATCTTTAACTTACGAATCATCCAACTTTTTTCCAGAACTCCGCTTCAAAACTCCCTTCATGAACTATGGGCACTTCTCAACTTTCTAGTGCCAGATGTATTCGCCAACTCAGAGCAATTCGATGAATGGTTCAATCTTGACATTGATGACAATGATGAAAAGAATCGCCTGATTTCCCAGCTTCATAAAATTCTTCGCCCCTTCATGCTTCGTCGCTTGAAAAAAGAAGTCGAAACAAGCCTACCGCCAAAACACGAAACAATTTTATTTACTGGAATGAGTGCGATGCAAAAAAAACTGTACCGGGATATTCTCATTCGAGACATTGATTCCATTCAAGGAACTTCTGGTAGTCGTACTGCAATTCTGAATATTGTAATGCAGCTGCGAAAGTGTGCCGGGCATCCTTATCTGTTTCCTGGGGTTGAAGACCGCACCCTTCCCCCTCTAGGAGAACATTTAGTGGAAAACTGTGGGAAAATGGTGCTCCTTGATAAACTACTCAAGAGGCTCCAAGAACGGGGATCTCGCGTTCTTCTCTTCACGCAGATGACTCGTATATTGGATATTATGGAAGATTATCTTGTCATGCGTCGCTTTCAGTACTGTCGCATTGATGGAAACACGACGTACGAAGTTCGCGAGAACTATATTGATGCATACAACGCTCCAAATTCAGAGAAATTTGTATTTCTCCTTAGTACAAGAGCTGGTGGCTTAGGAATCAATTTACAAACAGCAGATGTAGTAATCCTTTACGACTCTGACTGGAATCCACAGGTGAGTTACTCTAATGTATGAAGGCACCTGCTGATATTGAGATTGTGAATAACATCTAACATCTCGAGCATATATTGTTTATTGTTGAAAAGGCCGATTTACAAGCGCAAGATCGTGCGCATCGTATTGGACAAAAGAAGCAGGTACAGGTTTTTCGACTAGTGACGGAACATACCATTGAAGAGAAAATTGTTGAAAGAGCGCAACAAAAACTCAAGCTTGATGCGATGGTCGTCCAGCAAGGCCGTCTAAAAGACAAAGACAAGTTGTCTAGAAACGAACTACTTGAAGCAGTGCGTTTTGGTGCTGACAAAATTTTCAAAAGTAAAGATTCATCCATCACCGACGAAGACATTGATCTAATTATCAACGCTGGGAAAAGGAAGACACAAGAACTCAATGATAAATTTCAGGCTGCCGATAAAGGTGACCTTCTTGACTTCACACTGGACGGAAATAGTAATATGCAAACCTTCGAAGGGGTGGACTATTCAGGGAATGCTCTAGCTGCTGCCAAAGCGGAAGTTGGGATGCTTGGAATACTAGATCTAGGTAAACGTGAGCGCAAGACTGTTGCGAACTACAACGAGAACAAACTGTACGCAGATCAAGTTGCTGCGATACAGGGTAGTAAACCGAAGGAAAGGAAAAGAAAAAAACCCATTCGTCTCCCAAAATCTCTGCGTTTACCTAGAATGGAAGAATGGCAAATGTTCAACAGGACACGTTTGCTGGCAATTCAAGAAGAAGAGGAAGCGGCATTCCGGGCATTACCTGAAGAGGTACAAACCGCAGCAACTGCAAAGAAAAAGGACAGATTCAAAGACGACTCTATCGTCACAGACGAAAACGTAGCTAATGCGGTAAACGCTGAACCTAGTACAGCAGAGACGGAGGAGACAAATCCCGAAGAAAAGCATGTTGAGCTTCCGCCTCTGCTGAGTGAGGAGGTTCAAAAAGAGAAAGATTCTCTACTAAAAGAAGGCTTTCTTGGATGGAGCCGTGTGAATTATACATCATTTATTAAAGCAAGTGCCAAATATAGTCGTTCAGACTTTGCCAAGATAGCTTCTGAAGTTGGGAAGACGGAGGCTCAAGTTGTTGAATATTCAACTGCATTCTGGGGAGAAATTGGGAAGGAGCGATTTTCTGAACACGAGTATACTCGTGTAAGTAATCTAGTTGCGAAAGGGGAAAAGAAACTTGTCGATATGAAGGCACTCAGGCAAAGTCTGAAAGTTTTCATTTCCCTCTTCGACAATCCCTGGGAAAAGCTCGAATTTACTCATGTCAACACCAAAGATAAACTATTTTCTGCCGACAACGATCGGTATCTGCTTTGTTGGACCCACAAGGTGAGCTCATCTCTGCATGAATCGTCACTCCCTCGTGCTTCCTTCTATATCTAACAGGTATCCTGTCCGTTTCCTTTTTTATATGCAGTATGGTATCGGACAATGGGATGCGATCAAAATGGCTATCAGAAGGAGCCCACAGTTCCGGTTTGACTACTTTTTCCGCAGTTTGCCGGTTGACGTCATTGGTCGTAGGTGCGAGACGTTGATGAAAGCAACGCTGAAAGAGGTGGAACTCCTAGAAAAGAAAATGCGAGAAGATATGGGTTTGCCAGGAGAGGTAAAAGAGGGGACTAGTCTTCCGCCCATAAAACTTCCCAGATTCAGAGATATGCAAAGGACTTTACGAGCAAAAAAGATTCAAAAAAGGGAGAAAGAMAAAAACGATCTCGAGGAAAAAGTTGAAAATTTAGAGCATCAGATAGAAGAAATTCAAAACCGACTAAAACAATTGAGTAAGGATCCAGATATTCAGAGAGAGAACGTTTCTCGGAATGGAGATTCTACCACGGAACGAGAACCAAGCCATCCGGTGCCTGTTTCTCCTCCGTCAGCTACGACAGAAGACGCCGTTGCAGTCGACGAATCGAAGGGTGCTATTGGTCCAGACGGTACTTTCGTCGAGTTTCCTCAATATGATGGGTTGATACCTCCTAAGGAGTACAAGAAGGCATTCGCCCAGTTTTGTCAGAGGACGCGTAAATCGGTGAAGAATTCACTAGATCCCGAAGAAAGGAAAAATAAGGAAAAAGTGAACAGAATCTTGCGAGAGCGATTCACTGCCATGYCAGACGAAGAACGGCAAGTGTATCGCGGCTGGACTGCTTGGGATAAGTTGAGGTATGCGCGGGATCTTGAAATATACGAGAAAACCAATCAATCCGATGCTGTTGGCAACGAAGCAAATGAACAAATTACAATCCCAAAGAAACGCTCTGCTGAAGATAGCATTGCCTCTGTGCCCAAAAAGAAGAAGTTTTGAGTCATTATCTACTGCGTRCGAGGTATTGCGAAGACTAYGAAGTCTTTTTGTTAGGGCTTTTCATTAAAATCTATTAACGAGAGTACATCTTTGTAGCAAGTTGCACTAATGATTTGATACCTTTCAACCATTCTTTGTGCTCCTTCCATTCATTCGTCACGAGTGAAGACATCGTTGCTGACGCCGAAGACCAATCATACTCGGAAAGCTGGTTCTTAATTGTAAGCATTTGGTTGGCAGTATCATCAGAAATATCTCCAAGAGCGAGTCGTTTCGAGAAGATTGCAACCGCTTTCTGAGCTTCTGTCAACTGACGTTTATCGACGGAGCTTAGTTGCCCTCCTTTGAGAGCTTCAATGAGTGCCAGCAATGTGTCAGGAATGGGTTGGTACTCGTCTCTCAAAGCAGGCATAGTATCCAGATTTCCAGACACTGGGGCCTTGCCTTGATCTGAAGTGCCTACGGTTGCTGTTCCCGGCCTTCCAGTAGTATGGTAGGGGTTAGATGTACCAACATTACCATATTGACTTGCCAATTCAGGGTGAGAAGCGGATGTAACGAAACCATCACCATATTTCGAAGCCATCTTCGCATTTTTCGTTTTTGCAGAGGTGGGCTTAGCCCTGACCTGTGGAGTTGGTTGTGGGACAACDGGAGTAGGTGTAGGCGCTGGAACAGGTGCTGCTTGTGGTTTGTCCCAGCTGACCTCTCCAGTGGCCTGGTTCGCATAATAGGGCCGACCACTGCTTGGGTCCACTAACTCTATCCATCCAGTGGGTAACGCTGACACTGGAGTAGGAGCAGGAGCTTGGGTTTGTTGTAAACTGTTAGTATGCTTCGTCTGCGCATAGGCGGTATTCCCACCTCTAGAACGGGACATGCTATTACTTTCTTTAGTTCTCCCGTAACTTCTATTTTGCCCCGCCTGCGAATTGCTCGTTGCAGCTCTTTGATTTTGCTTCACATCCGCCAGGCTAAATGGAAATTCGGGAGCAATACCTCCCATAGCCGCCAAACATTTTTGGCTTGCTTTACTTCGGTACAATCGATCCCGCAAAATTTTGCTGCTTGTCGAATTTCCTTTGCAATATTTTGCAGCTGTGACTAGAAGGCCTTGCTCCGCAAGTTTTTCAGCATAAATGGAAAATATTTCCTCAAATTCTGCGTCTAGACTTTCAGATGATCCAGCTGCTTGAAGGAAAACAGCAACCTTGACTACGAAGTCGTGGATTGCTTTCAAATTCAGTTTGCTTCCTTCGCTTGCATTTTGTTTCGTTAGTTGCATCCTCCAATACTTCACAGCCTTATTCAAACTCAACGCACACATAAAACACAGAGAAGCATTYGAATGGTCACCAGCAGCCTCGAGCTTTTCACCGAGAGCAACACATAAAGGTGGAAACTCTTCGGACTTTGAATAGGTGGATAAAATTGCAAGAGTCTCCTTCCAATTTCCCAAATCAGAGTCTTGCACAAGACTTGCAAGATCATGGCGGATAATTGCTCCCACTACGGATAAAAACGGTCGCTTTTGCGAYTGACTTGCAAAGTATCGTTCTTGTGTTTTTGCCCACAAGTCGCCACCTCCACACGATGCCAAGAGAAGAGCATCAGCGAAATTTYCAGTCCGGAAGCAACAGTCAACGGCAGCATCGAAATTTCCAACCATCAACGACTCCTTCACGATATTTTGAGTCGCTAACGWCATTTCGGACTTTGTCTTGCTACAGCCATTGCTTTCTTCTTGGTATGCCGATACCTTTGYGGCAATGATGGTAGGATCATAACCAAGTGTATTTAGGAGTTGCTGTCTAGCGTCTGCRTCAAAAATTACTTSCATGAATTGCCAAAGTTGTCTTTCGTCCAAATCATTCTTAGCCGCTATGGCCTTGCTGTTGCAAACGGCAATAATATTCTCCAAATTCAACGCAGTTTCGAACTTTCTCGATATCTTTTCCAATTCAGGTTCTTCTGCTACGGTGCGGATACGAACGACTTTATCGGTTGCACCGCAACTCACTATCACTCCACCGAATCCGCATGAAACACTACTACTGGGGCGCATCCATTTTGGAGGTCGACCTGCAGCTGCTAAGTTCAATATCGAATGCACTTGCACTTTGCGATCAAGGGAAGCRGTTGAAACTATTCCCCGGTTGATTGGAGACCACTTCACATCGWACCTTAGCTGTTGCGAAGATGCGAGTCCAAACATGCTCTGTTCGTTTGTGCCAGACGCTTGTTGTGATTCGATAGAATCAGTGGGTATTTCACCAATAGGTGCCATAGTATAAAGGTCCCAAAGTATAGTTCTGTTGTCTTTCCCAGTACTATGAAGAATTGGTTGGATGCGCAAAACGAATGCAACAATCGTGAGCAGGTTATACCAAATTAAACGTGGTGAGATCTTCGACTAGTGCTGACACTTACGAAAGCAACAAGTGTTCGTCGTGAGGGCACCACGACATACTTAAAATTCCTTGGCTGTGRCCAGTCAACGTAGCAAGTGGCATGGTTGTTGAAGATCTCAGGTCCCACAATTTAATGAGAGGGTTCCGGTCGTCGTTCGATGCGGTTAGCAGATGGAAGCCTTGTGTTGGATTCCATTCCACGTCGGATATGGCCTGATCACCAGCTTGGAGATCACACCAGACCTTTCGACTTTTGATATCCCAGATACTTACGGTCCCATCTCTTGCTGCACTTGCTACAATGTGGGCAACCTGGGTGTTCCAAGCGAGGGACGTAATTTGAGATCGCTGCTGACTACTGTTGGCACAAGGCATAAACGGCGGAGATTTTGGTTCGTTCAGGTCTACAATCAGGACCTTTCCATCGCTTCCTCCCGTTGCTAGTTGTGACGGAACCAATGGGCTAAATTGAACCGATTTTACTGGGCCTGAAACATGCTGGGAAAACGACAAAATSGTAGGCGCCGTTCTTGTCGAYTCCGGTTGTAAGATTGCTCTTGGGTCCCATACGTGAACAGACCCATTTTCCATTCCCCCGGCAATCAGTCCAAGAGGGTATTTCTCTGGATTCGCATCGGACCACGTCAATGAGGCAAATCGACTCTGGGTTTTGATCGACCCAAGCTTTGTCGGTTCCTTTTGGTTTAGCAAGTTCATGTCATAAAGTTCCAGCTCGCCGCCGGTTTCTTCGAAGCTAACCCCACCGGAATCCTAGAGTGTAGATAGACGGATGGATAGAGGCAACAATGTGTCAGAGCCGCAAACAAGATTTACAAKACTTCTCCTTRTTGCCCGAGATTCCCAGCAAGTCATTGGCATCGGCGTGGTCACGCACCTTGACTCCCAAAGCGATTACACTGGCGTATTCCGAAACCGGGCTCCATGCCGTCGCGGCACTTCGATCAACGATCTGTGTTATTTTTGACATTCTATGTACTTTCTCTCGCGGATTGAAATGATATCCTTTGATGAACCCACGATGTCTTCAGCTATGGATAGTAGTCACGAGTAAAGTACCATAGTTGAGGTGGAAAGATGGTTGAATGCGGGGTGTTTGAAATGTCTTTCGGTTTGTCATCTTACGTACGATACCGTACAGACCTAGTAGGGAACTCGTACGGTACGAAGTTTTCACAACCTACTAGTCGCACTTTAATGTAAC